AAAAAAAAAAAAAAAAAAAAAAAAAAAAAAAATTGCTTATTTTTATTGATTACCATAGAAGTAAATATCCAAAATATGTCATATATTAAATAAAATTTGAAATTATTCAAAATGTGACATTATTTTTCATACATAGAACCATTATATTTTGAAAGACATTTTTAATTAAATGATTGGATAGAAAAAGACATTTTTAATTTTAATTGAAAATCAATAACGTTCAAACATTCCAACCAATTCGAGCATAATTCAGTAGATAAAATAGGTCGATTAATTTCAAGATTTAAAAAAAAAACTATACAGTTAGCAAACGTCTCCCGCTACAAAATATTCGAAACTATTCTTTAGAAAATAGGGTTCTACTTGATATAACCGTTACTTCCACCTATTGATTTATTTGATCTGTTACCTAATTTTTACTAGTGTTTTCATAAATCGAGTATTAAAAAAAAAAAAAATCTAAGAATTTGTTTTTGATCCTCGAATTTGGTCAATAATTTAAATAAAAAAACACATAAGAGGCCTGTTTACGAGTGAAGAATTTCAGGCGCACAACCCCTGATCTGCTCCTTTCCTGAGTGTTTCCCACTAAACTCTTCGATCCTGCCTTGCGCGACGGCTTTGCTATCGCTCATGACTGGTATATGGAGGTAAGCTCATTCACCTAATCTATTTCTTTCTTCTTTCTCCGTAACTACTTCTTCACCTGCTGTCTCCCCATACGTAACCTCTGGAAGCTTTTTTTACGTTGTTTACTTTAGTGACTGGGGGGTTTCGGGGGAGACCTATGTGGGGCACCTTTTGGGTGTGGGATGCTCGTTTAACCTACGCATAGTTTAATGCTAGAGTTTCAAGCTCTGTATTCTCTCCTTTTTCCGGAATACATCAGCTAGCCCAATCTTCTTATTCAATCTACCTGATAGTGGTAACCAATCACCATCGATTTTGATAGGAAAGCAATTACCATCGATTTTGACCGGAAAGCGATTCTTAGCTGTCAAAGGTTGCCAAGGCGCAATAGTATAATATTTCAAAAAACCAAGGACCGGAGTTCAAATTATTGAACGTTTAATATTTTTCTTAAAACAATATAAAAATTATAGCTAAAATTTAATTTTGTTATAAAAAAAATTATAACCCGAATATAATTAAGTGGATAAAAATATTAATTAACGTCTATCAAATCAATAATTCGATTCCCGCTCACTAATAATTTGATTCCCGCTCACCGACTTTTTTAAAAAAATAAATTTTGATAATAAAAGAAAAAGAAAAATGAAGGTATCATAAGTCCCATCATATTTTTTAAAAGATAAGGATCAACATATAAAATAATTATAAAATAAACAAGAATTGTTACAAAATATGAAAAGGCCAAGGGACCAAATTGGGAATATAATTACAAGATGATCACAGCCACAAGTTTCACTTCCAAACACATTTTCATCCAACGGCTCAAAGTCATTGCTTCTTTGTTGAACGTGCCAACCGTCATTATGTTCGATCACGTCCCATATGTCTTCTGCTTGTAAATTAACACGCATCTTTAACGGTAACAACGTTGCGTAGTTGTTCTTTGTGAGTAACAGGTACTGAAACGTTACATTTCCCTCGTTTATTATGTTCGATGACGTCTCATACGCCTTCTGCTTGTAAATTAACACGCATCTTTAACGATCACACTGCGTAGTTGCTCTTTGTGAGTAATAGGTATTGAAACGTTAAATTTCCCTCATTTATTATGTTCGATGACGTCTCATATGCTTTCTGCTTGTAAATTAACGCACATCTTTAACGATCATACTACGTAGTTGCTCTTTGTGAGTAATAGGTATTGAAACGTTACATTTCCCACGTTTATTATGTTCGATGACGTCTCATACGCCTTCTGCTTGTAAATTAACACGCATCTTTAACGATCACACTGTGTAGTTGCTCTTTGTGAGTAATAGGTATTGAAATGTTACATTTCCCACGTTTATTATGTTCAATGACATCTCATACGCCTTCTGCTTGTAAATTAACACGCATCTTTAACGATCACACTGTGTAGTTGCTCTTTGTGAGTAATAGGTATTGAAATGTTACATTTCCCACGTTTATTATGTTCGATGACGTCTCATACGCTTTTTGCTTGTAAATTAACACGCATCTTTAACGATCATACTGTGTAGTTGCTCTTTGTGAGTAACGGGTACTGGCTTCCCTCATTTCTACTTATATATATAATCTCGTTTAGTAATGTTTTAGTTTTCTATAACGACCCACGCTCAGGATTTAAAATCTAGACTCGACACTTGATGATTCTGACATTTTCTTACATCATCTACGACATGGTCACGTAACATACTTATCACTTCTAAAAGTGAAGATTATCTCTGGACTCGATATCTGATGACCCCGACATTTTCTTATATTCTCTGCGACATGGTCACCTTAATTGCTCATTACTTCTAAAGAGTGAAGACTATTATCACAAATCAACAGAAGTCATTCTATCGTGCTTTGTTCTCACTCGCAATCAGTTCATCCTTTTGGCCGGCAAAGCTACGACACTGTTTTGGTAGTGATCGTTCGTGTGCGTCAAGGTGTTTCTTGGCTCGTTAGTCCTCTATTCCATGTCGTTACAATGCCTTATCTACTTGCAACAAAAACATGAGATTTCCAGATGTTATTGTTTTTCTTAAACTCATCCTTGTCGATGTTGTTATTACACATTTTGGAACCATACTAAAACCGTTGAGCTCACCCTCATGTTCCCAGAACAATGGTCGTGTTAATCCTCTACGTGTTTGTTCATCTTTCATCTGCTAGACCAAAGGTCTCTGTTTCGTCAGCGTTTATGTCCAACGAGACAAAATCGTTCGTCATCCATCCTTTTCTTTCGACATTTCGTGTTTCATTTTCTTACAAGTGAGATATGAGAGTTTGCTGAAGTGTATGACTTCAAATATGGTCGTGGGTTCGTTGGAGGCGCGAGTTCTCCGACACTCACGCGTTTCTACCACGCAAGTTATTATTATTATTTTAACCTAACAGGACGTTACAAATATGATAAGACTAAATTAAAATTTGTGAATTCAAAGTGAATATAACTCAATGATAATTTATATGAATTTATTGGTTTAATAATGAAAGTTTAAATTAATTTCATCTAACAACCTTGTTGAAGAACAACATCTAAGAAAAAGTAAGATTCAGATTACCTTATTGATCGAATATCTCTCACTTTACAAGCAAAATCTTGCGGTTAAGGTAACGACTTCAGGCATGGCCAGCTCCCATAGTGTGACGGATGATGTGTACAAGGCCCGGGAACGAATTCACCGCCGTATGGCTGATCGGCGATTACTAGCGATTCCGGCTTCATGCAGGCGAGTTGCAGCCTACAATCCGAACTGAGGACGGGTTTTTGGAGTTAGCTCACCCGCAATCATATCAAGTAATTGTGAAGAAACTTTTACTACATTTTCGAGTCTACTCTACAAAGACAACATATATGACTTTATATAGTTTAAAAAATAAATTTGATATTTCATATTTTATGACCATAATTATCACTATTTAACGGTAATTTAAAGTAAATAAAATATTTTAAAATACATTAATAAAACATCATAACTCGAAATTATCATATATCCATAATTGAAACGGAAGTTTATATTATATGATTAAGATGTGTGAATGTTTGATTAATCCACCACACCTAAATGGTGTGAAAGTTATCTTATTTATAATCAAATAAATTACAAGCATATGGAAATAGTAATAAATGAAATAACAATAAATGGAAAGATACCTATGATAATAAGGCAAATATAATATATATGATAAACTATAATTTATTACTAAATATCCTTAACAAGATGTCTCGATTTATATCGAATTTGTTAGACTGGTAACTCGAACGACTCATATAGGTTTATAACTCAATAAAAAGGTCATATATTTTCATATTAGGTTGTGTCGAAGAAAGTCATATTCATTCACAATATATGCCTCATAAAAATTCAAATATCAAACATTCACACGTCATACTAGATCACGATGAATATATATATATTTTGTAAACTCATTATCAAGGAGGCTGCATCCAATTCGAGCACCGGAAATCGAAAAAGGGAAGAATTAGTGGGTTCGTGCGTGCATCTTATAAAATTTTCCCACCGATTATCATTCCCTGATAAGGAAAATACGTGTGTAACAATTCAGGAAAGTTGAAGAAAAAATCATTTAACTCTTCATTTTCTTCCTTCCACTTGTCGTCTCAGATCCAATCTATTCATCTCCTCGCTGCCACAGGTGCGTATTTCTAATCGATTTCTTTACAAACTTATTTTTTCATGGATGTTTCTTTATTCAATGACCTTCTACTGTAGTGATGCGAAACAATCGGTCCTCAATGTTTATGTTTATGGATTTATTGATCCTCGATGTTTCTCGAGGAATCGGGAAATCGAGAGACGATCGCGAGTATCTCTGGCTTGATTCTGTTGCGTTTTGTATGAGAATCGTATTTAATGATCAATGATGTACAGATGTTTATTGAAATCGACTTTTGTGTGAATTAGTTTTACTCTGGATTCTACGGCTAATAGTGAAAATTTGATTCTGATGATGATAGATCAGACCTTGAGGTTGGTTTTTGAAAGCGTTGTGGATGGGGATTCAAACGATGGGTTCTCAATTGAACGGCCAACAGTCCCATTTACAACATGCCTCGTTGATGAGACAAAATTCATGGTATGGTCGAACTCTTGATGAGGTTAAAAACCAGTTAGGTGAATTGGGGAAGCCAGTAGGGAGCATGAACCTTGATGAGTTTCTCCATAACATCTGGGCAGCTGAAGACAACCAATCCATGGAAATGGAGAGTGAAAGTTCCTCTTCGGCGTATTCTCTGCAGCGTCAAGCCAGTTTCACACTGGCTAGAGCGTTGAGTGGGAAGACTGTTGATGATGTGTGGAGGGAGATTCAACAAGGGCAGAAGAAGAAGAAGAATTGTGAAGATTTGAAAACTCAGAGTAGCGTGACTACACTTGGTGATATCACTTTAGAGGATTTCTTGATACAAGCAGGGCTTTATGCTGAGGCTTCTCCAAGTCCCATTATGAGCTTGGATGCCATTGATTCTATGGATGAGCAGACTTTTTCACAGAAAATCGGCTTGTTGTCATCATTCCCTTCGCTTGGCACACTGTCAGATACAACACCAAAACGGGGAAGGGATCCCTCAGACTTTGAGGAGACTATGGACCGGAGGCTAAAGAGGAAAATCAAGAACAGGGAGTCTGCGGCTCGATCTCGAGCAAGAAAACAGGTCATTATTTGGGAAGCTTTTCCTGTTAAAGGACTAATTATTTCTTATATTTAAGCACTATAGCTGATCCTTTGATTCATATGTAGGCCTACCATAATGAATTGGTGAATAAGGTCTCACGCCTTGAAGAGGAGAATTTGAAGCTCAAGAAAGAGGAGGTGATTGATTTTGTTGAATGTGAATTATTGTGTGATCATGCACCCATATGCCTGCTTGGTTTATTGAATTTTAAGTTTCAATGACAATTCTATGATTGGGGTTTTAATTTTCAATAGGATGGGAACAAAAGAGGCATTCATTAATGAAATAACCCACATTCTTGAGGAATAATTATTAGTTTATCACTAGGTCAAAAGGACACAAGGAAAAAAGATGTGCTAAATTTTGGTGCCTATGAGTCAGCCTATAAATTAGTACTCACCTATTTAGCTTATGTTTACAAATTAGAACCGAGAATGGGAGGATAAAAATACTTTTCCTCCTCACAATTCTTGGAAGGTCCCACTCTGTAACAGCCCTAGCCCTTCGCAAAAAGATATTATTTATTTTGGTCTGTTACGTATCGCCGTCAACCTTAAGGTTTTAAAATGCGTTTGTTAGGGAGAGGTTTCCACACCGTTATAAAGAAAGTTTCGTCCTCCTCTCCAACCGATGTGGGATCTCACAATCCACCTCTTTTGGGGGTCCAACATCCTCGCTGGCACACCGCCGGTGCCTGGCTCTGATACCATTTGTAACAACCAAGCCCACTACTAATAGATGCTGTCCGTTTTGGCCTGTTACGTATCGTCATCAGCCTTACGGTTTTAAAACGCGTCTATTAGGGTGAGGTTTTCACACCCTTATAAATAATATTTCGTTCCCTTCTCCAACCGACGTGGGATCTCACGTAAACCATTTCGTTTGTCACCTATGTTGATTAAGATAGAACTGAGGATCTTTGGAATAATACTGATGTTTGTTGGAACTTGGGCTGAGGAGGTATCTTAATGCGATGGAAATTGAAGAATGGCTCTCTTTAAGCTCTCATATTGATGTCTTATTGATAAGGGCGATGGCAGATTTTGGAATGTAGATTTCCTGGGAACTCTCTATTTCTTCTTTGCTTAAGCATTTGACTAGAAAATGCAAGGTTTTGTCAAGTCATCTCCACTTTTATTTGTGATTTCTCTTTGACCTCTTCTCCTTAGAGGCTGTAAAGAATGATAAAAGAATTTTAATTCAGACATCTCTCACTCTTGCTATATTTTGTGCACAAATAATAGACAAAATGTGAGAGCATTTCGTGTTGCAGTGCTCTTTTTTAAGAGACTTTGGGATATCTGTCGTGAAGCTTTTAAGCTCAATAGGGTGGAGAATTCTATGGCTCTGGTTTCTATTATGAGAAAAAATAACTGAGATAGTTGCTGCAGTTATTTGGTTGGAGATTCCCCATTAACACGGGAATAGGAGACAACTTCCTTACCTTAGGTATCATGGAAGGACTAGGCAGTGGTAATAGTAGGAAGAGAAAGGCACTTTTAATGGCTGAGGAGATTCCCCATTAACACGGGAGTTGTTGAACTAGACAATAGTTAACATGCCCACATGTATTCTTTTATGTCTCAATGAAATTGGTTTCTCGTAAAAGAAAAGAAAAAAAAGAAGGAACAAGAAAATAGTTAGCATTTAAGGGAGTGATAAGGGGCACAAATCAAACTTAAGCATATAGGGAGAGTTTTACCATCAGAATTGGATGGCAAAAAAAATTTATTCTGCCATCCTTGCGCGTACGGGGAGTATGCAGCTGAACGTGATAGCTGCCCCTACTATATGGACTGCCCAAAACCTGGGCCTAACATTTTAATTAGAAATCTACATTGGATCGGAGCGAGACGAAAAAGGTAGACTGAAGCTCTGGATCACAAAATGTAAGACAACAAGCCCCGGACCGGATGGATGATCACCCCTCAAAACTTTCCTATGCTGTAAGTGGTAAAGTACCAAAGAACTATCACTATGATTAGTAGGGTGAAAATACCAAATCCTGGAATATAATGGCATGGAGCTAGGCTGATAACTGAGTCTTGAGTGGAGAGAATTCAGTGAACTTTTGCAGATCTTAGGAAGAATACAAGTGGGAAGGTGAAGATAAGAATATCTGGAGGTTACTACAATTTAGAATTGTCGGCTAAGGCCCCTGTTCACCATTTCGACAGTTTCTAAAGTTGCCCTAGAGGGTGATCTATCAAAAGATAAAACCAGAAGTGTTCAAAGAAGATATAATTATAACTTCTTGAAGTTTAGAAACGGAATAAATGAAGCATACTCGAAGAAAACATTAGTTACATTTCTTATGTATGAATTGCAGTTCAATATCAAAGTGCAAAGAGAATCTGTTCTTAGTTTTTCAGTTCGTTTCATTCCGTGTTTAGTTTTCGACTCTCGGTTTGGTTTGATTTGATTATGGATGATATTCAATGTCTGCTTTGATCAAATGCAAGTATATTTCGTCTTTTTATAACTTTTCTTCATTGATCAAATGATTCTTGTGTCTGGTTTTCTCTCTTGCCATCTCAGTGAACTAAAATAATGTTTTGTCCTTTCAACAACTGACCCTTTTTTCGTCTAACCAAGTAGGAATTCGAGAACACGATGCAAAGCAAACCAATCTCGGAACCGAAGTATCAGCTGCGAAGAACTAGTTCAGCCTCCTTCTAAGCTGCATCTTTGGTACAAAAGGTATTGGTTTGGGTATGTAGGGAGAATGTTGCAGTAAGGTATACTACAGAGAGTCAGCTGCATGTTTGTGGCTCCAACGCTGAATATAGTTTGGTTTTACATGTACATTATTTATTGATCCATATCTAATTTTCAGCCATAGAGAGCAGCAAAAGTTCAATGCTCATAATCCTGCTTCTGTTTCTGTTTCTGTTTCTTTGGCACGAATGCCAGGCAATTCCCATCTGAAACTACATTTTTTTTTCAGGTTATTTGTTAGTTCTCTCTTTTAAATGGCTAATAAAGAAAGAAAAAGAAAAGAAGTATAGTTTAACTATTTGAATTTAATGATTCTCGGCTTCGGTATGCTTTCAAACCGAGCAGCTCTAGAAGTTCAACTCGTTGAGACACACATTTTCAATTAAGAGGTAAGAAATTTGAATCTCTTCACTCTGCTTGTACACTAATTTATTTTTGAACTATAATGGAAATGTGCACTAATTTATTGTATTTTTTCACTCGTTGCGACCAAAAAATTAGTATTTTAGTTCTTACTTTATATTAATGTATTTTATATTTTTGAACTATAATGGAAATATGCACTAATTTATTGTCTCGATAATCAAAAAGGTAAATAAAAGAAGGTAAGACATTCATTTTTGACGTTTTAAATAAGGCTTTACTCTTGAATTTTGATTCAAGGGAACAAATCGTAGGGTTGAAATAACTCACTCAAAACACCTCTTAAAGGAAGCCCTTATCGAATAAATATTCAGCCACCTATGAACCTTAGGGACTGTCGTATTTAATGTTTGTTCAATTACTCTTTTACCCGTAAATGCGACGATGTAGGCATTGAGTTCGCAATAACAATATCCTCCGAACATACTAACTAGCTGTGATAATAATTAATCAAGCTGATCTTTCTACTTTAATTCTAAAACTTGACAGTTGTCTCAGCAGTATTTCAAAAGAAGTTCAAAACTCCATTTTTAACTGATTTCTTGATGTGCATTTCGTTCCTATCAGTTCCATACTTTCCCAATCCGATCTGGTTGGCTGTACATAATGAAACAACTTTCCTGATGAAAAGAGTATCGTTCTCAGAGGAAAACAAAACCTTCTAAACCAAAAGCAAACATAAATTCCCTCCTATGACCAAAAATTATAGATATGGATTGTTTACCAAATTAAAACCCATGCATAACTTTCAGTTTGCTTCATGCAATATCAGGCAAGGATACTCAGATTAGAATCGTACTTGGAGAGCATGAAATGCCTTTTCTAATGGTTGCAAACCTTTTCGAGTCGGGCCGGTGGTCCGAGAAGTAGCTTGCGTAGAGTTAAATCCTCTTCAAGGGTGTGAAAGATGGGGAAGCTGCAACTTTTTCCTCCTTGAAGGGTTGAGTTGAAGAATCAGAAAGATTAGGCATCCTTGAAACACTACCTTTTCCTTTCTTGGCATTTGGCCCAAATTCCTCTATCATGTATTTCCACCCATCTATCGGTCTCCGACGACTAAATATATGGGTCTTGATGAAACTAGCAATCTGCACATGAAAACGAGCAACTGGGTAATGAGTACGCTAAAGAGAGAGAGAGTTTCTCAAATGGAAAGAAAATCCAGAGCAACAACAGTATAGAGGGATAGCATAGAGTGGCGTGGTGAACTTCGAATGAACGAAATGATATCCTTGATTAAAGAAGGCTAAGATTGTAACAACAAATGATCGGTAATTCGTTAACCATTTCAATTGTAAACAATGCAATAACACTAGTCCTGTCATAGATGAGTCGGTTATAGTTTTCTTCTGTGATTTTTTCTCGTCTAAGAGTTTTCCAACCCGTTCTTGGTGAACCGAGCCTGAATTTGACAGCTACAACCAGAAAGATCAGAAAATTCTTAGTTCTTAATCCATATTATATGCACACTAGACCTCTGGAATTAGTTGAAATGATACCACGAGCAATTATTCATTGTATCAGTAAATAAATGAGCTATTTTAGTAATTATACGAGAAGCCATAAAGTCTTATGATTATGTGCATTTCAAGCTTGGTAATTTAGCTTACAAGAATGGTCTTCAACAGAGTTGTGGGATGTTATAATGCTTTTTTTTTTTTAGTTCAGTGGGGGTGGGTAATCCAACATTAACGATACATGCTCTAACCAATTAAACTAGGCTCAAGTTGACAAAAATGTTATATCGTTTATCTCTTTCACTTGGAGTTCTTTGGTTCCGTTGTGTTGCGTGATTACACAGATTTTCTTTTAAATACCTATGGTGTTTTGTATATGTACTCTTCCCTTGTATATTTTTCTAATGACACGTTCTGTCACTTATCAGAATAAACCTTTTTCTTTAAAGAAACCGTGGTAACAACAATAAATATTAACACACCTGAAATTTATTGTATGCAATACGACGATCGAACTCCTGAAGAAGGATGTCTTCTTCCCTTTGTGTCATCTCCCATACATTTCCATCATGGCCTTTGGATGTTGTTTCCCATCCATCTGGTTTGTTTCTGAACTCTGAAGAACTTGGAACTTTTGAATGGTTTAAATCATCATTGACAGACTCAAAAATCCTGCAATCATAGCAGTTTAGACTTGTTGTGCTAGCTCAAGAAAAAATGGAAATAAAAAAATAGCTAGGCAGTAACTTGCAGACATATTTTCCTTAATTGTGTTCTTTTTACAAGTGAGTTTTACGGGCCGATTGGACCCGAAGCTTTTCAAGCTCAAGCAATTATATTTCTAGTTAGAGACCAACGTCTTGGAGCTAACGTTGGATCCACTCAAGGACCTACTGGTTTAGGTAAATATCTAATGCGTTTATGACCAGGTTTTGAGCTACCCTCCTTAGATTATGCTCACAACCATACCATTAATCTCTAGCTCGCTCGGGGTCCACCAAGCCAGCTCTTAAAGACGATGGTTCCAAGTTATTATCATTTGAGCTTAAGGTATTGTTAAATTCAATCCCTCGTAGTGGGCATCGGTCTCTCTAACTTTTTGTAATTGTCTATTTGGTCTAATTCTTTTGGATTGGAACCTTTATTTTCTAAGTTAGTGTTGGAAATCCTTTCCATAGAGATGATTTTTCTGTATTCTTTCATACATCTCAAAATTTTGGGGTCGAATCCAATTAACAAACACCTTTACTAGTGATCAGCAGATAAACACCACAAACATGAGGATTTAACCATTTGCATTAACAAAAGAGAAAGAAGAACTCACTCAGAGCAGCTATCCATCAATCTTTCAATGTCATCCCCACTGCCTGTAATGGAATCCCCCAACCTAGCCTCCTCTTGCTTCTCAATCTCCTTCATCCACAAATTAGCATGAATCCTCTGTTTCTTCAATCTATAATCCTTCTTTATGTTTTCCAAGCTATAAAGCGACCCGCCGCCACCATCACCATCACCATCACCTTCCATCTCTTGCTGATTCACTCCTTGCTTCTGCGTTTGAGATGCCTTTCGCCTCTCGTTCCAATTCTCATTCATATCCTCAACAAACGCTTTGGTCTCTGCATCCACATCCGACGGCAACACGATCGTAGGGTTTCCAGACGGGAAGTTCACATCGCTCTCCCATGGCGCTTTATTCTTCGGCGAAAGGTCTTGCGGAAGCCAAGCAGATTCCCAAGTATCATTCCACTCATCGTCGCCATTGCCAAACTTCCCGAAACCGGAGGTAGGGGAAGAAGATCTGCTTGACAAGGCTCTACCATGGAAGGATGAACCGAAATGGGATTGTTTGATTTGCAGAGGCAGATCAAGAACTCGATTCTTATTCGTTAAATAGAATTTTCCAATGCGATGAAGGGAATTCATGTGTGATTAACAAATGAAATAAGAACAAGGATTCGGATTGGCGGCCACAAATTAGTGCACAGTAAGAAGAAGACTTCGGAAGAAGAAGAAAGCCGGAGAGGTTGGGAGAAAGGAAGGCGCGGAAGTTCGAGAGAGGTTTGGTTTTTATTAAAGAATTTTCTAAATTAATAAAAATATTTTGAGCCATTAATATTATTAATTTTTTTAAAATTAATAAAAATTGTTAATTTATTTTTAAAATATTTTTCTTTAAAAAAAATACTCTTAATTTATTTTTTAAATCTATTAACACATTTTAACTTTTTAGAAAAATTAAAAATGCTCTTTAGTGTTTTAAAAGATAAACATATAATTAAAAAAAAAAGCATTAATTTCCTTAATATTTTTATATATATATATATATATATATATATATATATATATATATATATTTTTTTTTTTTTTTTTAAGTTTCTACGTACTAACTGTTCTATTTATATACTAAGGATAAGAGTATTTTTGAAGCGTATGAATAAAACTATTAAAAATTTAAGGGTATTTTTTAAAACACTCTTAAAAATTCAAGAATATTTTTGAAGCAAAATAAATTTATTTTTAACGGGACTTTAAAAAAAAAATTATAAAAAATTTAAGATGCGGGCATTTATTGAACTATACTTGGAAATTAACGCAGGTCCTCAGGTTCAAGCAGAAGATATTATTTAAGAAAATTAGATGATAAAAATTGCAAAGATGATCCTTCAACTATAGCTATTAGAGCGATTTTATAAGATTTATACCTTTAACCTTTTGTCAAGGAAATAAAACTCGAGAATATTGCAACTAAAAATTTCAATAATGTATGAAATCACCTTACGATCAAACCCTCAAACTATAAAATTGTAGCCATCTAACTTTTTTTTTTTTTTTACATTTCAAACAATTGTAGCTCGATCTGTCATAACCCTAATCCACTCCCATTTTGGACGGATTAGATCTACTAGTTCTTTGATTCTAGTCTCTCACAGATTGCTGAATTAAAAAAAGGATAGAAAACTACTCTTCACCCTTATAAAAGTGGTGTGCTTTAATCTGATAAAGATCGAACCTCGAACTTCAAACCGAGTGAATGTATACTAATTATCATTGAGCTAATAGTCACGCATCTCTAATAAGATTGCATTTCAGTGGAAAAATGACAGAACTTTTAGCAACTCTAACCATTTGTGTCCAGTAAATCTCTAGATAATTAAACTAAGTAAATGTCTAATGTGAACAAAATATGAACTACAAATGAAATTATGCCAAAAAAGCCAGAAGGAAGAAACATTGTGATTATATGATTTCAATCACTGCTTCCTTCCAA